GCTGAAGACTCGGAAGCTCCTGGCGAGGTTCTGGGGCAGAGCCTTTTCCGCAGCGGCGGCCCAGCTGTGGGGGCCGCCCTCTTCTCCTCCCTGGGAGGCCCACGGTCTGAACGCTCCTCCCGGCCCATCCCTTCCTTTTCCTTCTGGCCCACGGCGCCGCCCGGACCCAGGGCCCGCCGACCTTTGCGGCCCCGGCCTTGGATGGGAAGCTTTCCTCGCCCCACCTCCGGTGTGGACGGCCCCTGTTGCGAGGCGCCAAGACTCAGGGGGGGCTTCCTCTGCTTGCCCCAGCCCCCCTCCTTCCCAGCTGCCTGGGGCCCCACGAGACCTCCTTGGAAGGACCCCGATCTCAACTCCCTCCTAGCACCTCCTGGGGTACATTCCAACCATTCCCCCTCCCGCTCACCAGGAGAGGGAAAGGGTCCCTCGGCTTCCTCCCCACCCACCCATTCCTACACACACACATGCACGCACGCACGCACGCACGCACGCACGCAACTTACCAGCCTCCATAAGCGAAGAGGCCGCTATACAAGGCCAAGACAATATTCCCGACTTCTGTTTTTGTGCCATCAAAGGAGTGTTCGGGGCTCAGGTTGGAGATGTCGCCTGCAGAGGGAGGGAGGGAGGGAGAGATGCAGGAGGGGCAAAGCCTTCAAAACCAGCAGCAGGCATCCAACCTACCCACCCAGAATCCCCGAAGCAGCATGCCATGCCTGGAGGAACGAACCAGGGGTCTCCCCCCACCCCGGAGAGGATGCCACGCGGCAGCTGCCGTGCCTGTCATCTCTCGGCGAAGGCCAGGCTGGGGATGGTGGCTGGGAGCAGCCGCCCAACCTTGTTGGGGGGGGGGCTTCCCCTCCCTTCCCCAGGCTGGTCCCCTACTATCTCCCGAAGCGTCACTCCTGCGATCCTTTGCAAAGGCCAGCCGGCAGAAGGCATGCACACCCACCCACACACCCCGGGAGGGAGGGAGGGGCACCCCTTCCTGGGGCCAGAAGGCCTGCTGGCCTGAAGGGGCGCGGTGGGGGGGAGGGAAGGATTCAGGCACTCCGCACGGAGCTCACCTGGGCTGAAGCGGTTCCCCCACCTGCTCATTTTGGCATGTGCCACGCTCAGCACTGTGCGTAGCCGGCAGGCTTGGCCACCGATGGTGGCAGGAAGTGGACTTGTTGGCACCGATCCCTGCTCAGAAGGGGGGTGGGGTGCTCTTGACTCTCCTCCTCCCCCTGACCCCGGACCTTGGCCTCAGAGCCCAGAGAAGGTCCACGAAAGGCCAAGCCAGCCTTGCTTCCGGGGCCTCCTCCCTCCTCACCCCCTGGCTTCTCCATCTGGAAGGAAGGGGCAAAGAGGGACCAGCTGGGGGGGCTGGAGGAGGGAGGTGCCTCAGGCCACGGGTGGGCTCAGCATTCGGCCTTTCTCCCCACCCACCCACCCAAC